CAAAAGACTTCATCAAGTCTCTATATTTAAAAAGTTAGTGCTATTGATTCTTGATTATATCATACTTCCTGAAATGGTTCCCTATTGATAAATTCTTTTTAGTTCAGTGACTCTGTGTATTCCTTCCATCTTCTTTTGATACTTCTGTATTTATTCAAGATTTTGCCCACAGACTTTCAGTATGGAACTAGAGGCTTGAGTTTGTTCTTAAATTCCTTCAGTTTAAGAAATGCTGAGCATGTTCTTCCGTTTTGGTTTTCTAACTCCAGCTTCTTGCATATTTCATACTATTTTTTACTTCACCTTCTCAAGCTGCCCTTTGAAATATATTCAACTCTCTTACCTCAGCTGAAACTAGCTAATTATACTAGTTTCTAGATATTCTTCAGGATAAGCTTGAAACATTTCATAATGTTTGTGATTGGATAGAGGTGAAGATTGAGAGACAACAAGGGACCAGGGCAGACCTTGAAGATTCTAGCTTGATGGTGATTGGGTAGAAGCAAATGTCATGAATTGGTGCTGAAAATGTCAGAAAAGGAGAAGGAGGGGATGAAATAAGCAAATTCCACCCTGAATGCTGAATTTTGGACACTTAAAGGAACTTCCAAGTGGAAATCCTCAGAAGGCAACTGAAAATGGGAATCTAAATCTGATGTTCCGTATTGAAAACTGAGTGACAGTCAGCCCATTTATCATCAAGTAAATTCCAATTCATGGCAACCCTCATGTGTTATAGATCAGAAATGCTGCTTGGGGTTTTCTTGGCTCTAATATTTAGAGAAGCAGATTGGCAGTCTTTTCTATGATGCCAAGGGGTGATTTTGAACTTCCAGTTAGTTGCTGTTATGTACCGTTGTGACCCATAGCCACCCTATGTACAGCAGCTCTGAATCCTGCCCTGTCCTGAGCCAGTCTCACTAATTACAACACACCAACCCCCATCACACCAGTTACTGTATCACTTAATCTCACCCAAAGTCTTTCTCTGCTGTGCTGTCCCTCCACTTTTCCAAGCATGATGTCTTTCTCCAAGGACATAGTCAAGTACAAACCATTTGTGCCTCCCAGGCACCTCAGGCAGAAGCTAGAGAATGGAAAATCTCTAGTATATAAGTGTTACTGCTGTGTTGTTGTTGTTGTTGTTGTTATGTGCCGTCAAGTCGCCTGCGACTCATAGCGACCCTATGTACAACAGCCCTAAACTCCGCTCTGTCCTGTGCCAATCGCACTGTCTCTGACACTCCCATCCCAA